GCAGGTGACACACCTGGGGCACACCTGGGGCACACCTGGGGCACACCTGGACAGGCAGGTGACACACCTGGGAGGGCCTGGGAACGGGGACAGGTGAGGGAGGGGCAGGTGACACACCTGGACAGGCAGGTGACACACCTGGTGCACACCTGGATGGGCAGGTGACACACCTGGAAACACCTGGGGAACACCTGGGGAACACCTGAAGGGGCTGGGAGCAGTTTTGGGGTAATAGGGAGTGAAAAAATGGCGAAATTTGGACACCTGAGCACACCTGAGACACCTGGGGAACACCTGGGGAACACCTGAGGGGTCCAGGGGCGGTTTTGGGGTAATAGGGACTGAAAAAATGGTGAAATTTGGACACCTGGGTTACCTGGGAGGGCCTGGGAATGGTACAGGTGAGGGCGGGGCAGGTGACACACCTGGAAACACCTGGACATGCAGGTGACACACCTGGGAGGGCCTGGGAACGGGGACAGGTGAGGGCGGGGCAGGTGACACACCTGGAAACACCTGGACACACCTGGGGAACACCTGAGATACCTGGACAGGCAGGTGACACACCTGGGAGGGTCTGGGAATGGTACAGGTGAGGGTGGGGCACACCTGGACACACCCTGGGCACACCTGAGATACCTGGGGGGTCACTTGAGTGGGTTGGGGGCGGTTTTGGGGTAATAGGGAGTGAAAAAATGGGGAAATTTGGAAAATTTGGACACCTGGGCACACCTGGAGCACCTGGGGTACACCTGAGATACCTGGGATAACCCTACCCAGGTGTATCACAGGTGTATCCCAGGTGTGTCTAACCACACCCAGCTGCACTCAGGTGTATCCCAGGTATGTCCAGGTGTATTGCAGGTGTATTCCAGCTCTACCCAGGTGTATCCCAGGAATCTTTAACCCTATCCAGGTGTATCCCAGCCACACCCAGGTGTATCCCAAGTGTACCTAACCCTACCCAGGTGCACTCAGGTGTATCCCAGGTGTGTCCAGGTGTGTGTAACTCTATCCAGGTGTATCCCAGAAGTTCCCAGGTGTATCCAGGTGTATCCCAAGTGTGTCCCAGGTGTGTTTAACCCTACTCAGGTGCACTCAGGTGTATCCAGGTGCACTCAGGTGTATCCCAGGTGACTCTAACCCCACTCAGGTGTATCCCAGGTGTGTCTCAGGTGTCCCTAATTATCCCCAGGTGTATCCCAGGTGTATCCCAGATGTCTCTAACCCTATCCAGGTGTACCCAGGTATATCTCACGTGTATCCAACCAGACCCAGGTGTGTCCCAGGTGTCTCTAACCCTAGCCAGGTGCATCTCAGGTGTATCCCAGCTGCACTCAGGAGTACTCCAAATGTTTTTAACCCCACTCAGGTGTATCCCAGGCGTCTCTAACCCTATCCAGGTGTATCCCAGGTGTATCCCAGGTGTATCCAGGTGCACCCAGGTGTATCCCAGGTATCTCTAATCCTACCCAGGTGTGTTTTAGGTGTCTCCAGGTGTATCCCAGGCGCTCCTAATTCTACCCAGGTGTATCCCAGGTGTTTCTAACCGCACTCACGTGTATCCCAGGTGCACTCACATGTACCCAGGTGTATCCCAGGTGTATCCAGGTGTGTCCCAGGTGTCTCTAACCATACCCAGGTGTATCCCAGGTGTATCCAGGTGTATCCAGGTGCACCCAGGTATATCCCAGGTGTATCCCAGGTGTGCCCCACATGTCTCTAATCCTATCCAGGTGCACTCAGGTGTATCCCAGGTGTCTCTAACCCTACCCAGGTGTATCCCAGGTGTATCCCAGGTGGTTCTAATCCTACTCAGGTGTGTCCCCGGTGGATCCCAGGTGTCTCTAACGCTATCCAGGTGTATCCCAGTTGTATCCAGGTGTGCCCAGGTGTATCCCTGGTGTATCCCAGGTGTCTCTAATCCTACCCAGCTACACTCAGGTGTATCCCAGGTGTGCCCAGGTGTATCCCAGGTGTCTCTAACCGTACCCAGGTGCACTCAGGTGTATCCCACGTGTATCTAACCACACCCAGGTGTATCCCAGGTGTATCCAGGTGTGCTCAGGTGTATCCCAGGTGTATCCCAGGTGTCTCTAACTACACTCAGGTGCACTCAGGTGTATCCCAGGTGTATCTAACCACACCCAGGTGTATCCAAGGTGTATCCCAGGTGTATCCCAGATGGTTCTAATCCTACCCAGGTGTATCCCAGGTGTCTCTAACCCTAACCAGGTGTGCTCAGGTGTGTCCCAGGTGTATCCAACCCTATCCAGGTGCACCCAGGTGTATCCCAGGTATACCCAGGTGTATCCCAGGTGTCTCTAACCGTACCCAGGTGT